CCGTAGGAATTGGCGGACAGTTGAATTTGCCACCATTCTGGATGCAGTGAAAATTGGGTGTTACACGTGCCCGGCGATTTTCATAAACCCAAATTTCACCCTCTCCGTTTAAAAAAAAAATGCGTGCACACCACTACGTCTTCAGAAAAGTTTTTGTTTACTCTAACCTGTGTATTTATGCCGTCAAGAGCATGCCAAACCTGTAGGTGGCAGTGTACAATGAAGCTCAAGCCCACATTAGCCAATCAGAATCCTGCATAGCAGCAACAACAACAACGTCACTTCCTTCTTTTGGAAAAGATGCAAATGCTAACTAATATAAAGGGACTGCGCCAGAATAAATGCAACTGCTATTCTGCATGCATCCATGATCAACATAGATTGTAAAAAACGTTGCATTGGACCCAGTTTACGGTGCACTATCTGCTGTCAACGACCTGAATCTCAGTTTTTCTCTGTTTACATGCAAACGTTCAAAGGGGTTTTTCCAAAATCTCCACTCTGGCCAGAGTTTTTAAAAAGCATCGAATTTTCTGTCTGCGTCTAAAGGATGGTTAATGTCTCCATTTTTAAAAATAACAGGGGACGTACAAACGGGGCCTTAGCCCAAATTTCCACTGCATCCTGAACGGCTACTAAAAGGTCGTATCTGCCAATCGTAGCTGATCATAATCATTCAAGTTAACGTGTCAGTTTCCACTGGCTTCTTTCTGTTCCTCTGCAGATCGCCAGACTATTTCTATTTTTTCCTGACGCCAGAGCATGCCGGATAAATTCAGCACAGATTAACCCGTGCTGGAAAGGAAGTCGGGCACAGACACAAAATAAAACACTCTGTGTTTCAGGAGGATCGTATTTCACACCATGCAAACGGGCGGAGACAAACAAGTGAAAGGTTTTTAGACGTCATTTCACCCCGATGACACCATGGATGAGGAGATGCTGATTCTAGAAGTAGATTTCCTCCTCTGGAAGGACACAATCTACTGCTTATATGTCTATGTGTCTGTCTTTATAGAGACAACTTGTTATCCCGCGATTGAATGTGAATCCGTGGGTTCTTGTGAGTTCTCGCGATTCCCGCTGTCCGTAATCCGCCACAAAATTCGCCTCACAACGGATCCAGTAGGAATAGGTGGACGGCAAAAATTTACTGCCATTTTGGATTGGAGCCTTTCCGGATGCGGTGAAAATTGGGGGGTAAGAAGATTTCTACATGAATGCATTAAATAGGGCTCACTGTTGGGCCAGTTTTACCTCAGAGTCCTGAAGTCTTCCACATAGAAACAGAGCACTAAAGTCTGAGCGGTCTGTATACTCTCATTCTGCTTTTTCAGCTCAATGGTCAGAGTGTTTCTCCTCCTCCTCTTTACTGAGATATATTATGTATAAATGCAGCTCTTAAAGCGGCTGTTAAACTCTGGATTTCAGAGTGTAAGGCGAGCATTCGGCAGCTAAAGCCTGGACAGCACTTGTAAGTCTGTAGGTGTGAGGACTTTGATGTGTTTTGTGAGGCTCAGCAGAAAAACGGGCTGAGGGCTGAATGTTGCTCTGACCCTCTGAGCGTCTCTGCGGACTAATACCCAAACAGTTAATACTCTCGTTCTGTACACTCAGGCGGTTTCTCACAGAAAAAAAACAGACCTGAGCTTTTCAGATATTCCCACAAACACGTCTGCTTCCTGCCGTCAGGTCTGTGTGAGTTTTACCCACAGCTGCAGCGGTGTCTCATTACAACCCTGTCTCCCTAAATCACATTTATATCGCTCTAATTTGTTCAGCCAAATGCTGTTTGTTTGTTTGGAGAGGATATTTAATTTAAAGCTGGACTATTTTCAGTGTCTACAATCACAATGTTTCAGTGTTTTCATCCTTAAAAGCTCCTCAGACTGTTTGTTTGGTGTTTTCTAAAGCTGTTTGGGTAAAGAAGGACCTGATTAGAATAAAAACTATTATCTTTGGAGAAGAAGGAAGAAAATGATGTCTGTACAACAAGAAGAAGAAGAAACTCACTTATGATGAGAGACAAATTCTTCAACTATTTAGAGAGAGAAATAAGGAAACATCTAACCATTCTCATCTGCATTCTCATCCTTTCTCATGTTTTCTTGATGCTCAGACTTTTTTCTCATATTTTAGTCTCATTCAAAGGGACACATGGACACCCTCATGTCTATCTACTCAGCCCTGCATGGACCCGGTACAACAGACCGTCACCAAGCTCTCCATCATGTGCAGTTTCGGAGATCGGTACATCGCCGCTACAGGAGGAGCCTTAACAAGCTGCTGCCTGTGCCACCTGGTACCGGTATCACCCAGCTGTTGCGCTAAATGAAACGATAAAAAGATGCACAAGATCGCGATAAAACACATTGTTTAATCCCATTTGGAGCAGTGTTTTCTACATGCCATGACAACGCATGACATGTACTGTTATTTCTTGCTACCCCATTGAAAATTGCACGCATGCGCATTTAAATGCCCATTAAATGCTGGGTGACACCGGTACCAGGTGCCACAGTCAGCAGCTCGTAGCGGCGATGTACCGATCTCCGAAACAGGGGATCTAAATTTGTAAATCAGTCCTCTCGAGATAAAGTAATGGCACATTTTAAATTTAAACAACTATGTTCTCGTCCAAAATGTTGTTAAAACTGAATTTGGTGATAAGAGTCATATTTACCATTTATATTTCTCCATGAGTCATACAAAAGGCCTGTGTGGTACCTCAGTCAACCGGCAGAGGCACCTGTTCGTAAACCCTCCAGTGGGTCGTATTTCAGTGCATGAAAAAACAACCCTATTAAGTCGTAATGGATTAGAGGACTTGTTGGCACATTAGTCTAGGAATGAAGCTTGTTATAAACTGGGACATGTGTCACATCTGTTTTAAACCAACTCAACGATCAGATCATCAGAACAGAGTCTGGACTGAATTCAGCGCTATCAGGATTGGAGCTCAGCGAGCAACTCTGAGCAGCAGAGAGCGAAGACGCTGACAGTTAGCAGGAAACCACTCAAACTGAGCAGAGATGTGAAATCACACAGTCTGTCGTTTCTTCACCATGTTCCCGTATTTCATCATCATCATGATCTCTGCGTTTTTACTCTTTTGAGCTTTCACTCCATGTTCGTGTTGGACGGCGTATTTCTGGCTCTTGCAGCATCACTGTGCTTAATGTCCTCATGGGCGACGGTTTTGACTGACAGTTTTTTACCGTCAATCCTCGGACCAACATGAAACTCTCCTGTCGAATCATCAGAACAAACACTGAAAAATCGTGTTTGAAAACCCAATCGTTTGATAAAACATCGAAGCTACGAGGAGCCTGGAGGGGGGGTAACTCGGAGTCCCACAGCACAGTTCAGTAAGAGACATCTATCTCTATCAAAGCCTGAGTCTTCATCAAAGATTCAGCGGTTTGGGTTTCATGTCCACCTGAGCTGAGGAGACCCTCTTGGCTGTCATTCAGAATCACCTGGAAAGAAAGGAACAGGTTTCGGATCTTAACCCTTAAAACTCCCAGCTATATTTTGTTATTTTTGGTCCGCCTTTTTATTTTTTTGATAAAAATCTATGTAACAACTCTATCCTTTCGAGCACAGCAAATATATACACATCTTTATTTTCAGGACAACCTCAGCTGTCAGTTTATGGAGCAAAATGATGTCAAATGAATGTGACAGTAGATTCAGAACCATCAAAGTCAACCAAAATGCAAAAACGGAAATTAATACCAACAGTACTTTGCTTAAAAAACACATAAATCTGCAGTGACCAAGCCTTTTCTCACCTGACCATCATTCTCTCAAGTCTTGGCTATCAGGAGAAGAAATACTGGGATTGGAACAAACACACAACAGAAACTATTGACATATTTACACAAATTCTTCCAGGCGTTTTTACTATTTACAGTTGTTTCTGCCACTCCTTGAAGCAGTTCCTGTCTGGGGTGAGACAGAGGACCACATCATACTGCTCATAATCTCTTCTCTGCTTGTTTCCAAACATTGAGGAACATTATTTCTTATTTTGCAGACAAGCAGGGAACGTTGTTGTCTCTTGTTGATCTTTGGTTGCCTCTTATTGGACACTACCATCAAAGTAACAATAGAAGAAGAAGAACATGAGACCATGTAGTTGGTCAAAAGTTTGACAGAAAAAGACGTCATCAAAACAGCTCGTCAAACCCAGAAGACATAAGCGGCATTTAGCAATAGTTATCTTTTTTTATCACAACAATATGATAAATAATTGTGTTTTCACCGGTATATCACTGCAGATTTAAGGTCCTTACACACCGGGACCGACGCAAATGTACGATGCGAAATTACGAAATATTCAGAGGCGAATTTTGACGCACCTGACTATACACATCAAGCGCGGTGTGATTTTGCGACTTTCTGGGGGAAAAAAAGAGACGTCCCGGGTGGAAGCGAGAAGACTGACCCAACAGCAGACTGACTGTTTTTCAGTTCTGATTAGACACTAGTGTTGAGATGTCTGACTGTCTGCATGTACTGAGTCGGAGCCAGTACCAGATAAGAACATTAAACTATAATCCATAAATGTAAGGTAACAACCAATACCTAATGGTGCTGTGACAGCAACGCTGTGATTGAGTTTGAGACAGTGATAATACATATGGTATGTTGTATCTGAACAGGTTAGCTCATGAGCTAAAGTTAGTTAGCACAGATGAAAGTTAAAACAAAGACGTTTAGCAAACTGTTAAAGCACACAAACTATCATCATATGAGAAATCCAACGCTATGACTCTTCACAAGTTGTGCTTCAGGTCATTATCTTTGTAATATTTGTGTCTTTTATCAAAAAGCACTCTGTTCTCTGACACGTAAACAATCAGCCGGTCGGCCATGTTGGATATACCGGTGAATCAGACGTTGCAACAACACACAATCTGATTGGTCAGAAGTGGACACACAGTATGCAACATGTAAGAAAAATCGACCGTGAAACGAAAAGAAATAAATGCCGCAACATTGCAGGATGGGAAAACGTTGTTGATGTGAACGCTTGTATTGACAGGATACGGGTTCGAAAAAAAATATTGACGTCCGAAATAATTACACGAAAAAAACACCCCCAATGTGAAAGGACCTTTAACATCAAATGTCTCTGATCAAACACCTATTTTTGTGGCTGGATTGTAAACCTTGTGGCAGGTGTAGAAATATCTGGAAACCTTCGATAGAACACTTTTCATCCTGTAGAGATACACGGTATAGTTCCTGAGAAACTGTGAACAATATTAATGATGTCACGTGGGATCGCCGGTGATCCAGGGGAGTTCTAATTGTTAAAGGGGGATATACTGTAGGCTACTGCAGTTCACACCGACAGGAAGACCGACTAATCAAACTCGGACCAGAAAAGCATTTTCAACTACCCCTCCTTGTTTAATTCTACCGTTACAGGTACGGCTAACAGTATAGCAAGGCTGATAGCAGATGGCTAACTCTAACTTTAGCTTGCATATTACATGGTGCTTCACCGTTAACTCGGCGTGACCGAGACCAGCACAGCGGGGAACGTCGTGAAGTGGGTTGAACTGAAACTTGTTGACTTATTGTGTATTTAAAAAACTGGTTTATTTACCGTTGAGGCGGACCACTCTCCTCTGTGCGTCCCTGAGCTGCCTGCTTCAGAGCTGTCACTCTGCTGTGCTGTGAGGTAGTTAGTGGATGAAGATTGTCATGAGGTCACTGCGCCATCTACAGGATAAGTCTGGGAACTTTTCAAATGGTGGAACATTTTGGAACTGAAACCCAATCTTATTCTCCGCATTTTCTTTCTGAAAATATTCGCGAAAATCAAGGAGTTTTGGCCGATTACCTATTAGTCTCAAACGGGCTAAATTGGCTGATTTGATCGGCTCGCCGATAAATCAGTCGGGCCCTACCGGCGATCACACTTCAGGCATGCAGCCAACTCATCCGCTTTATTTACTGAGGAGCGTAAATACCCCAAAATGACAGATAGTAAAACAAGCTTGAATCCATGCTGGCTGTTTCTGACCAGGACACCACCTCTGCGGCCTCTCCTCCTTATCCCAGAATAATTGGAAGCCAAAACATTGTGATCTGGAGTGGTTAAAGTGGGAGGCAGCAGGCTAAGTAGCTCTTGCCGGCTGTAGGTAATGACAGGTAAGCCTGCTAACTCACTCCTGATTATGAAACAACATGACTCTGGATCAGCATGAGGACAGGTACCACCGACCAGCTCTAAGGGAGTCTGGGCCAGTGAAATGTAGCTTTAATCCAAACAGTCCAGACCTGCAGATCCAGATCAGACTTCCTGTTGGGTTTAGGACACAGGTGCGAGAGGTTTCTGTGAAACATATTCACAGTGATTGTGGAGGAGCGGCCTGTGTTTTAGGAAGTGTTAGTCTGAGATTCGATGGCTTTGGTTGAATTTAAAGACTTCAGTGTGTATCTGAAGAAAATTTTGATATTCACACGTTAAATGAACCAAAACCAGCAGAAAGTGCAGGTCCAGCTGCAGCTTGGCATGAAAACACAGAGTTTTTAAAGCAGCTCTGGACCTTTGGCTCGCCCCAGAGAAAGAGTCTGAGCACAAAACATGCTGATATTACAATCCTGTGTGTGTGTGTGTGTGTGTGTGTGTGTGTGTGTGTGTGTGTGTGTGTGTGTGTGTGTGTGTGTGTGTGTGTGTGTGTGTGTGTGTGTGAGAATTCAGTGAATTGTGTTTTGTGGAGCGTGGGAAAGCTCTGCTGATTTGGCCAATTACAGTGTGGCTCACAAAAGGTCAGCGTTTCATTACACACAACACAACGCTGCCAAGACGTCCTGACACGTACGGAAGAACAAAAACAAAGAGAGAGGAAGCGAGTGAAAGAGAGGGAGAGAGAGAGAGAGAGGGAGAGAGAGAGAGAGGGAGAGGGAGAGGGGGAGAGTGAGAAGAGCGAGGAGAGGAGGGAAAGAGTCACATGTAGTCAAAGATACAGCCTCATGTTGTAAATAGAAAATAAACCTGTTTAGATTCAGACACTCGGCTACTTCATTTCACTTCAACTCCCATGAGGCCAAGCGGTGACCTGATGGACCAGCTGACAAAAACCGACAATAACGTTAAAAATGAAGGATGTTAGTCTCAAAGATGTCATAGACGGCAGGAGTGAACCTGATTTTAAAACAGAATTAAAGGTGGTGTAGACAGGAATCCATTAAAGAAGCATATTTTTTTGTGGTGTATTTACAAAAAATCTTTTAATATCAGTCAATAGTTATTAGTTATTGATGACGTTTGGGATTAGAACGATATCTCTGTGTTCTCTTATGTCTGTGTAGTCAACATTTTACCATTTTAACATTTTTGAGCTCTTTCTGACTGTAAACAAAGTCGTTATCCGCCTCCCCAACCTGATTGGTTGTGAGGCAGACGCTGCTCCCCCGTGTCGTTCAGGAGCCCAAACAAAGTTAGCGTGCTACAATATCGGACAGTAGAAACCAACCAGAAAGTTCCGAAAATTGTCTGAATCCTCCTTTGGCCACAACTGCCAACACAAACAAGCAAACTCCAACATCTGATTTCCAAGGTATCTTAAACGCAGCATTATTACTAGGACATATTTAATTAAATAAAACACAGCATCATCAAAGACGGGACAGATCTTAACACTGAACACAGCCGCTGTGATGAGGACTCTCTTTCCTACAAAAGAGGATTAATGCCACATGTAGAGAAAAAATAATAATTACAGGAAGGAGATTAAAATCGAAATTTCAAGATTAAAAATAAAAAATATGGAGATTAAAAAAATTTCAGATTAAAATTTGAAAAATAGAGATTAAAAAAATAAAATTGAGAGATTGAAAATTGAAATACAGAGATTAAAAAATAAAACATTTTAGATTAAAGTCAACACGAATAAAGCTGAAATTTCGACTTCGGCCTTGAAATGAAAATTAAAAAAATCTCTCTCCTGTAATTGTTTTTTTCTTCTCTACTTGTGGCCTTAATCCTTTTTCATACTTTCCTCTTTGGTGTTACTTTAGGAAATGTTATAAAAAAAAGGTCTGGAATTAGCCCCGCCTACTCCAGGTTACTCTGTCTGTATATGGAAACAGAAACTATATATGGAACAGATTCAGACAATCTGCACATTTACGTTCAGTGTTTACAGTCTGAAGGTTTCTGAATCATCGAATCTGTCAGAAGAGAGTCTGTAGACATTGTTTGGATGTCTGTGAACTAAATGTGGATTTTTATCAGGATACAGGAAGAGTTCAGAGTGATAAAGCAGAAAACCACAAAGACACATTCATTAATGTAACCTGAAATCTTATTAAAATTCACATTTCTGTGGTTCCCGCGTCTAAATGCTGGGAGAATTTCATTTCATGTGTGATAGACTGAGAGAGCGCCTGCAGGTGAATCCTGCTAATGTTCAGTCACACTTCTACGCCCCGATTTATCATCCAGGTTCAAACACGGGACTTTCAATACGAGTCTGAAGAAGTGGATCTTCTCTTCTTTTTTATGGGATGGATTCACTTTCTCTGTATTTCATTTCCACTCTGCAGAGTCGGTCCACCGTAATAAGGTTCTGATTTCAGGCCTGCTGCTAAAACCTCCATTTGGACTGAGTTTGGTAAGTAGAAATAACTTTAATGCTCCTCTCTCTTTATCCGCTCCTCAGAAGTTTTTATGACAATATAAATAAGCCCAGTTTACGAACTCTAATAACCCCGCAGAGCTGATGTCACCGCGCTGCAACCGTGCGGCTTTAATTTCTGTTTTTGCTCTGAAACTTCAAAGGTGTGGAAAAAAGAGGAAACACAAAAACATTCAGAGCAACAGTGAGAATGTTTGCCTCTGCTTCATGGAGAGATAAAACCCGTCACAGCGTCCTGTCTGCACGCACGCCGCTGCCGCTGAGCCCGCATCACAAACCTGCACACCTGAGAGCGGATGGGGGAGGTTAAAGAGCGAGGGGGGAGGATGAAGGTGGAGTGATCAAAACAACAACCTTCTTTCCTTCTTACCTCATCCCTCTTTTCCCTCCCGATCTAAGAGCCACTTCATTATTGTCTGACAAAGATCGACTTCAGGAAACAATGGTCTGATTTAGTTCGGGTCACATCCTCACACTGATGGAAGAGAACGTAAAGAGTCCATCACTTTGACCTCAGCAGAGGCCAGGGTCTTCCTAAAGGACGCAAAGACACCTGGTCTTTCTGTCAAGAGTCTCACTCCCAATTTCCACTGATGCGGAACGGCTACAAAAGGTCGTATCTGCCGATCATAGCTGATCGTAACCATTCATTGTCTGGATGAACACAGATGTTGCTCCTAAACCTGGAGATATTGTTTGAAACTGAGGATGCAGCATCTATGATTTCCAATTCTTTGTTGAAAGGACATCTGGACTTACTTGAGGCTAAGTTCAGCTGTCCTTTCCAAAAGAGTGTTACCCCCAATTTCCAGCGTCTACTAAAAGGTCATATGCCCCGATTGTAGCTGATCGTAACTATTCAAGTTAAGGTGGCAATTTCCACTTCTTTCCGTTCCACAGCTGATTGCAAGATTTCTATTTTTTCCGGACGCCGGAACATGGCAGATAAATTAAGCACAGATTAACCCTTGCTGGGGGACTTCCGGTGATGCAGACCGAGTAGCGTTCGTCGAGAGCTCCTGCATTCGTGGTGCAAATATCCTGACTTTTTACTTCTAATATGGCCCAAATTATTACTAACATTAGGAAAGACTTATTTGATGACCTTAAAGTATTACTGGAGCCAAGCAAGTGACAAAATGGAATCTAAATCCGCTATGAAGACCCAGTGGCAGACTCTTGGTAGCAATGGCAAAAAAGCACAAGACAATGAGGCGGAAGTGCTGGAGATGGAGCTGCTAAGTCACGCTTTGGCCAAAGCCATGACCACAAACACAGAGAATATCTCAGGGTTAATGGAAGCTAAGTTCAACTCCTTTCTTCGGAGATATAGTAAAAAAAGGTGCAAGATATGTCCAGGCATGTCGACGAAGCCGAACAACGCATTTTAGCTGTGGAGGACACTTATGTCGAGAGAGAGTAGCATCTTTCATACCTGGAAAAAACTGTGGCATCGCCACAGGAAAGGCTCAACGATCAAGATTAACCCGTGCTGGAAAGGAAGTCAGGCACAGACACAAAATAAAACATCCGGCTTCTTTTCACAATAAAACACTCCGTGTTACTGGAGGATCATATTTCACACCATGCAAACAGGCAGGGACGAACAAGTGAAAGGCTTTTAGACGTCATTTCACCCCGATGACACCATGGATGAGGAGATGCTGATTCTAGAAGTCTAGAAGTAGATTTCCTCCTCTGGAAGGACACAATCTACTGCTTATATGTCTATGTGTCTGTCTTTATTGGGACAACTTGTTATCACACCATTGCACGTGAATCCGTGGGTTCTAGTGAGTTCTTGCGATACCCGCTGTCCGTAATCCGCCACAAAATTCGCCTCACAACGGATCCAGTAGGAATAGATGGTCACCTCCATTCTGGGTCGAAGCTGTTCTGGATGCGGTGGAAATCCGGGGTCAGTTTCTTTGTAAATAGTCTCCACCCTTTAGAGCTTAGGTCATGATGGAGGACTGGTTCTCTATGTTTTCAGTCTAGTCTTTCCTTTCTTGTTACCTTTTTTACTCTCTTTTTCGTCCTCTTGTTCTCATGATTTTACCCTTTCTTGTTTCCTCTTCTTCTTCCTTTCTTTCCGTTCTTCCTCAAACTTTATAAAGTTTTACTCCTCCTCTGTAGTGTGTCTCCTGTTTTCCTTCCTTCCTTCTGTTCCTCTTATGCTCTTAGTTTGCCTCCTTCCCTTCTCATGTCTCCTTCCTCCTTGTCTAATTTATCCTGCCCCTCTTGTTTCCTTTTCCTCCCTCGTCTCCTTCGGACTTGTTTCCTAAACTGTCTCCTCCTCTTGTTATTTCTTTCTTTTCTTATCTCCAGCTTTAAAGTCTTTATTTTTTTGTTTCTACACTTTTAATCTGCGCTCTCCTTCTCCTCTGTTCTCCTCACTTCTTTCTCATCCCTTGTTCTCTCAGTAGATGAAGGAACTGGAGCTTCAAAAGAGCATCGACCCAACAACACACACACACACATATTTCACACACAACACTCTGCTCTTACACTAATAGCTTTTTAACACACACTCCAGTAAACACACACACACACAGAAATGAAATTCACCCTATGATGAAAACAGCCGACGTTACCATGGAGAGAGAGAGGAGACGTTTTCTTCTGACGAAATGAGGGAAGAAGTAAATCCTGAGGGAGAGGAGTGGGGGGGGGGGGACAAATCTGCAGGCTGAAGATAAACACGGAGGTGAAGAAGAGGAAGAAGAAGAGGAGGAGGAGGAGAGGTGTGTGGAGAGGAAACAGAGGGAAGCTGCTGGATTTACAGCCTCTGATCAGACTCTGACCTGAGGACTGAGCTGCTAAACCCCTAAAACACAAACTGAACTTCTGAGGACTGGACCCCAACCTGGACTAAAACCAGGTCAGAACCCAGCATGGACAATATTAAAGTCAGATCCTTAACCCAGACACACATGAACTAGATCTAAACCCAGGCTAGAACCTCAAACCTGGACCTAACCTGGTTTAATCTATAGGTTTAATCCCAGACTCAGAGTTAGTCGCTAAACTTAAATTTATTCAATGCTGAGGCCAAACTACAGAGCAGTTCTGTTACCATGGTTACTGCGTCTGATAACAAACTTAAAGGATGTTTTTCAGTGAATCAAGTGTTTTAAAAAAAAGTGAATTCTGAAGTTTTGTTCCATTAGATGAACAAAAAGTGTGAGATGTCCTGTCAGTATATGAAACATGAAAACAGGAAGGAACTCCCAAAAAGAGAAATACAATTATATCTAATCTAATCTAATCTAATCTAATCCAAACTAATCTAATCTAATCTAACCTAATCTCATCTAATCTACTCCAATCTACTCTAATCAAATTTAATTTATTTTAATCTAATCTAATCTAATCTAATATACTCCAATCTACTCCAATCACATTTAATTTATTTTAATCTAATATAATATAATCTACTCTAGTCAGATCTAGGGCTCTATTTTCGTGCGCGCCGGTGAGGCGGCGGAGGGCGGCGAGCCCCGCGCAGTTGTTTTTTCGTCTGGCGGAGCCCAGCGTAAGGCCAGTTTGGTATTTTCGTGGCCTGAGCCGCACGGAGGCGAGCCGAGATCCGCCAAGCTGGGCGTGGTGGCGTGGCAGGGGGAGGTGTCGACAGAATCAGCAGGCGCAGTGACATTTTCGTGCTCGCCACCGGCGAGTAAAGTCGCCGATTCAAACCTGGTCAGCTTTCAGCGCATGGCGGAGCGCAGCTGGTTTAGTAGTATTTTGGTAGACCGGCGGCGTATCGACATACGTCACTGATGCCTCACCGGCAGGTTTCGACAGTATCAGGCACATTTCAGTGCAATAAATAATCATCATCAACTATTAATCTGAGTCAGCACATACATTTAGATCTATATAGATATATTCTGATCTATATGTGATCTGATGAGCGCGTTTGGCACGCGTTTGGACACACAACCTGACCGAATCAACACAGCTGAAACCGCATCAAATTAAATTAAATATCTAGTAAATAGATATGATATGATAAAGATATGTAATTCGTCTCCCTCCTTTTCTTTCTTCCTCTTCCTCTTATTTCTCGCACAGTTCGACCTGGACAGGTCTCGGTGTCCTCTGTCCGTCTTGCTGCTGCTGCGGCTGAACAGATCATTTGTTTCAGTGCTCAGATGCGTTATCTACTTTAAGCCGACATACGGATATTATAATATTCAGTTTTGTGGGCCAAATTTATTTTATATGCCATCATCTATGAAAGAAAGAGCCAGGCCACGGAGCGGGATGCGTCATTTACGCACAGATGGTTCCGATTTTAATGCCATTTTTGGAGTTTATGTTGTGATCTGTGCGCTCAACCCACCTTTGTCACGTGAGGTTTGAATATGAGCAACTTTATGTGAGTGTCTTTATTTGTGGAAAAGGGTGTTGGTCTTACCACTGGGTCCAACATTACACACACCAAATCCATCTGTGCTCATATGAGAGAGTGTGGAGGACACTTGTTGAGGAGCTGCCCTCTGTCGCCATCTTGTGGCATTACTGTCTTAAGACATCTCTTGATCTCTTTGACTACTTCATGAAAATAGTAATACGCCTCGCCTCGGATTTAAAGGCAAGGAGAGGAGCTTATGTGATTGAAGAAAACAGGTCTCGGCTGTGTTAAACCCACTCCACGCCCTCTCTCCTCCCCGTCTACGACTTATGCTGCTGGGAGGAGCTGAGTTAGGGAGGGGGGATACTTACGCCGGGCTGCGCGGCTCACCAAAATACCAAAATGTGCTTGGGAACGCCTTGTCAGCGCAGCGGATCTGACTGACGCTGCGCTTGCGGCACGTCTCCGGCGAGGCACGGAAATAGAGCCCCTAATCTAATCTAATCTAACCTTATCTAATGTATCTAATGTAAACTAATCTTATCTAATCAATCCAATATAATATGATGTAATCTAGTGTAATTCAATTTAATCTAATCTAATCCAGAGTTATCTAATCTAATCCAGTTGAATCTAATCTAACCTGATCTAACCTAGTCTAATCTAATCTAAATTGATGTAATCTCATCTAATCTAGTGTAATCTCATCTATTCCAGTTGAATCTATTCTCACCTAGTCTAATCTAATCCAATCTAATCAAGTGTAATCTCATCTAATGGAGTCTAATCTAATCTAATCTAATCTAATCTCATCTCATCTACTTGAATCTACTCTAATCGGATCTAATCTAATCTAATCTAATCTAATCTAATCTAATCTAATCTAATGTAGCTAAAAAAAAAAACTTCAAATACAGTACTGAGTCCTGCGACATCCAGAAATACTCAGATGACATCGCTATTGTGGCATGTATCAGAAATGGACAAGAAGCTGAATACAGAAATTTAATAAGAGCCTTCAGTGACTGGAGTCTCAAAAACTGCCTCCTCCTCAACACCTCAAAGACAAAGGAGATGGTCATACGTAGACTTCCGTAGATCCAAACCCCCTCTTCAGCCAGTGAACACCTGTGGAGTGGACATCAAAGTGGTGACATCATATAAATACCTGAGTGTACGTCTGGATATTAAGTTGGACTGGTGTAAGAATATAGACTCCATCTACAGAAAGGGGCAGAGCTGCCTCTTTTGCCTGAGAAGACTCCGATCAAAAGACATCTGTAGTAAGACGCTGCAGATGTTTTATCAGTCTGTGGTGGCAAGTGTTCTGTTCTACACTGCAGTCTGCTGGGGAGGAAGCATCAAACACAAAGATGCAAGACGTCTTAACAAACTGGTGAAAAAGGCTGGCTCTGTGGTTGGATGAAAGCTGGACTCAGTGGAGGATGTGGTGAAGAGAGCTACACTGAGGATGGTGGAGACTATTCTCAAGAACATGGATCACCCACTTCACAACACTTTGATGGACCAAAGGGCAAATAGTGGTGGACGGCTCCTCTCTCTTCGCTGCATGACAGAAAGATTTAGAAGATCTTTTGTACCAACAGCCATCAGGTTTTATTACTCTTGTGTAAATAATAGATAACTTTCATAGACATTACATGAGACAACAGACAATTGAATTTCCCTTCGGAGATCAATAAAGTTTTTCTTCTTCTAATGTAAACTAATCTTATCTGATCAATCCAATCTAATATGATGTAATCTAGTGTAATCTAATTTTATCCAGTCAATCTAATCTAACCTAGCCTAATCTAATCTAATCTCACCTCATTTAAACTAGTCTAATCAAATCTGATGTAATCTAGTGTAATCGCATCTAATCTATTCGAATCTAATCTAACCTAGTCTAATCTAATCTAACCTAATATAATGTATCTGATGTAAAGTTATCTTATTTGATCAATCTAATCTAATCTGATGTAATCTAATCTAACCTAGTTTAAAATAATCTAATCTAATTAAATTTAATCTAATCTGATCTAATCTAGTGAAATCTAATCCAACCTAGTCTAATCTAATTTAACTTTATCTAACCTAGTCTTATCTATTATTTTCCAGTCTAATCTAATCTAATCTAATCTAAAATAATTTTATATGATAAATCTAATGTTATTTAATCTAATCTTAACTAGTCTAGTCTTGTCTAATCTAATCTAATCTAATCTAATCTAATCTAATCTAATTTTTTTTAATCCACTGAAATTAGACTAACTTCCACCTGATAAAAAGTTATAAAATGTCATTTAGTGTATTTTGTTTCATTTATTTTTCTCAGATGTCTCAGTCTGAAATTACCCTGTGAAAAAATAATGGATTAATGCTTAATCTCATGAGTGTAATTATATTTTTGTTTGTTTTGAAAGTGTTAATCTGTGTTTTTGATTCATGTTTATATTTCCGCCCCTGAATAAGAGCATGATTGTTCACCTGCATTTAGGTAAACAAGAATAAGACACTTTAAAAGGCAGAAAAATAGCTCTGAAGGTGTTTTTTTAAAGGCAGCAGAGGCGGATCTGTGAACAGCTGATTTTACCAGTTCTTATGTTTTTGTCTGAGGACTCCACACTGACCCGAACACCAGAGTTCTCTCTGCTGACATGGCTAAGTGATAGAGTGGTTTTCCAACTCTCAGCTGTTAGTCAGAGCTGGTGTGGGATAAACAATCAGTCATGAGCGAGTGAATGAGCTGCTCCCTGACTGATCCAACACATGAGTCCAAACTGGCCTCACCCCCAGAGGGAAGATCCAGAACCTGACGCACAAATAAACTCTGAAACAGCAGCAGCAGCGGCACACAGGAATGTGTCATAGACCAATAACAGCCCTGTTTCTCTGCGTAATGATGTTTTCACAATGAGTCACAGGGAACATATATACAGGAGAGACTGACAGAACACATGGATGTGGCTAGTTTTTACATCTGTGTGGTCATCATGGGGGGACCAGATTCAGGAAGACATAAGCGGCATGTAGCGATAGTTATCTTTTTTTTTATCATAACAACGTGATAAATAATCATGTTTTCACCGGTATATCACTGCGGATTTACCATCAAATGTCTCTGATCAAACACCTATTTTTGTTGCTGGATTGTAAACCTTTTGGCAGGTGTAGAAATGTCTAGAAACCCTTGAGAGATTGCCAAAAGGGTAAGATTTGAACACTTTTTATCCCGTAGAGATACACAGTATAGTTCCTGAGAAACTGTAAACAATATTAATGGTGTCACGTGGGATTGCCAGTGATCCAGTGGAATTTTAAGTGTTAATGAGGAGAAGATTTCTACTTCCTGTCATGATCAACATTGTCCATCTCTCTACCATCTTTGATAATGGCTGTAAAATCATCATCACTCCCCTTATCAGGATGAAACGAGATTCGCTGTTAAAGCAAGTCCGACATGAGCTTTCAAGAAAGAGGACTGAGCTGCTGGGGGGGCACCTCTCTGCTCCCTGTCACTGCCGCTGCTGAGTTTTCCACTAGACTCATAAATGAACTATCAGTATGTGGGGGTGGGGGGTGGGGGGTGGGGGGGGGGGACTGTCACTTTTTATCCCTAATTAACTTTAAAGAGACGACCAAATTCAAACTATACAGTCTATCAGTTACTTAGACTGTCCGATATGACCTCTTGACCTCGGTTAAAATATACAGTAATGGTTTTCTGCATAAATGTGCCGCAGTCATGACACCAAAACATCGGAGGCCCTAACTGTGAGAGGTTATTACTATCATCATCATATTATGACAAATGTGACATAGGAGCTAATGCTCCGTACCAGTTTCCTCAGAAGCTGGAAATGACGTTACACCAGAGTTGACAGCGTTCCAGTAAACAAGTCGGAAAACCAAGATGGACGCGTTCTGTTCGCCGCTGTTGGCTGTTGTTTACAATTGTCAGCTGTTGTTAGCGGATGTGAGTTAGTTGTTAGTTAAAAGTTTTCTTAGTTTGTGAGGGCCAGATCAAGTTTTTACCCAAAATAAATATTTGTCTTTGACATAAGCGTCCTGAGACTGAAACGACACTGTCAGAGAATTCAGATCTTTTTGACATTTTACTTTTGAGCTTTTTTTCTGACATGATGTCGCCGTTGTACATAAAGTCTGACAATGACTCGATATTTCCCGGCTTATTGTTAAGGAAAAAATCCATCTGAATCCAGTCTGTAACAAGAAAAAAAATGTTATCTATCCATATTTAAACAGTGAGAGTTATCAGCACACGCTCCCAACAGCAGCAGCCCCGTTTGTCCTCACCCCTGACTTTGTCGGCTGCCTGTTGGGACTGTTTTCAGGGGCAACTAAACTTGAGGCTGTGCTCTCCTTCACAACATTATCATCAGGGTTCATAGCAGAAAGTGGAAGGAGAGCAGCTGATGCCCTTTGTCAGCCCTCCTGGTGGTGTTTTCCTCCTAATTCCATTCTGTCTGCAGCTCAGCTACAGGTGTGCCTCCTCCTCTGTTGACACAAACATCACGCCGCTCACTGCACATGTGCTCCACTGAGCCGAAATGAAACAGCACAACCTGTTATTGATGTTCAGACCAGTTTGAGCTGGTGGAGAGCCGAGACTCCACCTGAATCAGCTCTGCCAGCCCTGCCTGTCACCGCCAGACTCCAAAACCCCTCTGTGTGAGTGTTTATGCCAGTGTGTGAGCGCCTGTGTGTTCATGCATACAAAACAAGAACGTGTGTGCAGGAACGTGTGTAAATCCTGCCCTGTGGTCCACACACAGAGGCTGAGCAGGATAATCATAATGCTATCATCATGTGTTCCTGCTGGCTGAGCAGGGACTCGCTGTTCCTGCCTCTGGTCCTCACAGCAACAATGATTAATAATGTGCAAATCAGCATCTGATGAGTCCGTTTACAAAATAATGATAATTATTATTTCTGACACTTCTTTTTCATGCAGCAGGATTTTTAAAAAACAAAATCTCAAAAGTTTATTATGAATTTTAGAGCAGTGATGCTGAGGAGAGTCCAGCTGGTTTGACTATTTCAGAGTCATTAAAAAAAAAACATCATGAAAATTTGACACAAGCACTGTGGGTTAGAGGGACACCAAATGGTACCTGAAAACAGGCACTTAATGGACACTGAAAGGGTACCTGAAAACAGACATTTAATAGAAACTAAAGGGTACCTGAAAACAAACCATTTAAAAATGAAAGAGTACCTGAAAACAGACACATCATTGAAACTAAGGGGAACCTAAAAACAAACAGCTAACAGACACTAAGGGGTACCTGAAAACAGATCCTAAAGAAACAATATAGGGTATGTAAAAACTGACATTTAATAGGCACTAAAGGGTGCCTGAAAACAGACCCTTAACAGAGACTGAAGGCAACCTGAAAACAGACACTGAATAGAAACTACAGGGTACCTTAAAACAGACACTTAATAAAAACTAAAGGTTACCGGAAAACAGACACTTAATAAAAACTAAAGGTTACCGGAAAACAGACCCTTTAGAAACAAAAGTGTACCTGAAAACAGACACTTAATAGACAATAAGGGGAAACTGGAAAGAGACAATTAACAGACACTAATGGGTACCTGAAACAGACCCTTTAGTAACCAAAGGGTACCTGAAGACACACTCTTAATAGAAACTTAGGGGTACCTTGAAACAGATGACTCCTAAAACAGACCCTTTAGAAACTTCAGGGAAACCTAAAAACAGACACTCAATAGACACTTAGAGGCAACCTGAAAATAGACACTAAATAGAAACTAAACGGAACCTAAAAACATAGTCTTTAAGAACCAAGAGATACCTAAAAAAACAAACACCTTATAGACACTGAAAGGTACCTGAAAACAGACACTTAATAGACACTGAGAGGTTCCTAAAACAGACCATTTAGAAACCTGGGGTACCTGAAATGAGACCCTTTATAGAAACTTAATTGTACCTGAAAACAGACCCTTGTAAAAACTGAAGGGTACATGTAAACAGACCCTTTAGAAAATAAAGGGTACCTGAAAACAGACCCTCAACAAAAACTAAAGGGTGACTGAAAACCAGACACTTAATAGGCACTATAGGGTACCTGAAGAAAGACCCTTACAGAACCTTAAGCATAACTGAAAACAGACACTTAATAGAACCTTAACGGTAACCCAAAAAAGACCCCTTAAGAGAAACTTAATGGTACCTGAAAACAGACCCTTAAGAAACCAAAGGGTACCCAAAAAACAGACACTTAATTGAACCTTAAGGGTACCTGAAAACAGACACTAAATAGGAATTCAAGGGTGACTGAAAACAGACACTCAATAGAACCTTAAGTATCTGAAAACAGACATTTAATAGAAACTAAGGGTTATCTGGAAACAGACACTTGGGGCCACTTTGACACTGATCCCTTCAATGAGAATAAAGCAAAGAGAACCAATAAAGCAAATCTAAAACAAGGATATAATTTGAATCTAGAGGAACCCTGAATAAATGGTACATAGATTTTAAAAACAGATGCTGTGAGTTAGACACTGACTGTTAACGTGATCCAAAAACCTGATCTGATACTGAGGGACATCCTGACCCAGATCCTGAAGAGTACTTCAAACTCACACCTTCAAAAGGACACTGAAGGTACCCCAGGACAGGTGTGTTTGCAGGTAAATGTGTCTCAAAGCTCAGGGACAGAATATGCATGAAGAGAGAGAGAGACTGCAGTTAACATCTGCTGGTTCTAAAAAGTGAGAGACGTCATTCTGAATTATTATCAAATATAGGCTTTAGTCTTGATTTGTAAAGGACGTTTTATAAAGAGACTAAATGATTTGTTGAACTGTTTTTTATTGTACAGGTATATTCTTAGAAAGGTGAGTGTTGATCAAACTGTTGTCTAAAGAAGATAAAGTGCATAAAAATCTGAATAAAATTGAAATACAGGTGAAGTCCAAGTAACCTTAACACAAACTTGAGGACATGTTCTTCCTGTCTCTGTACGGTGACAGTATTTTTTGTGTAGCGAGGGCAGAACGGCCAGAAAGCCACGGGCGAAAATATCACAAAGACAGACTGAATAATGAGGTGAACTCCATAATGAGTATCAGGCCGCGCTGATATTCCATTAATTCTCAGGATGACATTGTTTATTCAGACAGTAAGTGTGACACTAATTATACTGATGATTGAACTGGAAACAATATGTGGAGACGTCTTTTTGTTAAATGGTATCTGAGAGGGTGTTTAAAACCAACACTGACCCTCTGCTCCCAGCACACAGCCATCACTGCCACCCAGGGTAAGATTAATACTGCTTACAAAGAGCCGGGCATGCTGGGAAATAAGACACAGTCACTCCTGAAATGACACGTCCTTTTCCTCTGGCTGTGCACACACACACACACACACACACACACACACACACACACACACACACACACACACATACATCTGCACGCACACAAATCCTTCCATAAAACAAGCGTGACAGAAGGGAGGACAGCTAGCCGGGAGCTGCAGTCCTGTGAAAACCATTCAATAAACAGCTGAATCTGTTCTTCATTATCCCGTCGCCACAACTGCCGAGGGACTGCCGCTCGCACTGACACTATTTACATGCTGTAATTTGTCAGCAACATTAACACGACGCACAATAGCAACTCAATACAATATGAATACAACAAGATCAGCCTGCAAGAAAAGGGACAGGATGAGGAGTGAGCACGCTGGACTGAAAGGAAAAATGCTTGACAGGGGGAAGTAGGTAAGCTGG